TTCAAGCTTGTCGCGGTTTCTCTCCTCAGGTAACCCCTTGTGATGGATACTTCCTCTTCCCCTCCCTACACCTGGTGAGTGAGAAGGGGTCAGTCTCGTCGTTATTTCCTAAGGTCTTTGCCCTAAGCAAACTCCTTACTAAAACACGTTATTAGCGTTTCCTTTCTTTAGATGAAACCCGTTCTCGCTTTCATCCTTAATAACTCATTTCAACATTAACTCATAGAAGTTCTCAACTTCTATCCTTAACTCAAACACAAAACACTAGGACCACCGCGTTACGTCTTGCCGTCCGGTTGCATACCCAAACTCGGCAATGGCACTGCGTTACGTCTCGCCGTCCAGTCCATGCCCGTCAACTACTGAGTTACGTCTTGCCGTCCAGTAGTGACCCGAACATCTACCGCGTCCAGTAGTGGCCCAACCGCCCGGGGGTTCATCTTACTAAAAACCACACACATTCACATACATAGCACAACGCGTGCCTCCACCTTAAGTAGGCGGTGGGATGCACCAGATCTCATAAAAATTTAGCTAACATTACTTGAAATTAACGACATAAACTAAAAGACCTCGACGGAGATTTTACCCCCTTTACACTCACCTCTCAAGTGTCGATACTTTACGTCCTTTGACGTGGAGTCCCTTAATTTGATCGCCTCCTTGATCCTATAAATCGAGAAGAATTTCCCTTAGTCGCTATTCTGCAAAATTTTCCGTTCTCCTAGCTTAGTCCCAAATTCTTTAAAAAGACCTTAACTCATCTTAACTAATTAAATAATCCTTTGCATAAATCTTATAAAAATTCTCATGAATTTTTCAAAAATTCCTTAACCTTCAAATTACAAATTCTGACTTCTCATAACTTAAAAACATAAACCAAAATCATTAATTATAATTTATACCTTAATTACCCCTCCGTCTTATTTAATTTAATAACGCTAATTTTTTTAAACCTATGATACCAATTTCTAAAATTTTGGTTCTTAATTCCCTTGCATAAATTAAATATTCTAGTCTTGCACAAAATTAACAAAGTCATAAAAGATATGCATACAGTAATTAAATTAATTAAAATGAATATCATATAAATTTTTGTAATTATCAAATCAACTCGAAAAATCACCCAACAATTCCTGGACAAACATACAAGTATATTTCTTCGACTAAAATTACCAAATCCAGAAAAATGCTCGAATACTATTTTATTTAAATAAATCAGATACCCTAATAATTTTTAAAAGCTGAAACGTATCTCCCAAAAATTCTAGAATTAATATACAAGACTCCTATCACTTTTATATTATTTATAAAATTATCATAATTCGAAAATACACACTGTAAGAAACAAAAATAATAATAAAATCCGGGATAAAATACTGTTTTCGGCCAATTGTAAATGTTTAAAATACTGGGGACTGAGCTGCTCGTACTAGAAATATGGGGGCCTAACACGGAAATTTTCTCGCAGACTGAAACCAAATTACCATCGAGATCCTTAAAATTTTTGAATGATCAGATTTGGTACCTGAACTCCCCAACCGCGTCTCAAAGTCTCGAGGCACGTATCTCCCTTGTCTGGCGTTGAACTTGAATTTCGTCAAGACCGGGATGTTCCTGAGATTGCCCTCTATGCGATGGTACGAAGATTTCGAAGCTTGGTTGAGATCAAATGCGTCGTGATCGCCGTTGAAGCTACTTTCATCACGAGGTATGTCTGATTAATCGGAGTTTAAACGAGCTCAAGAAGGATTGAGTTCGAGGTTCTCACCTACTGACTTCCGAGAAGGGATGGCTGGGTGGGTTCCTCGATCGGCCGGGAAACATCAAAGGCTTGGCGTCGTTCGAAGCTCTGGTGTTGTCGTTTGGTTATCACCGAGATGTGCGTCGGGACGGAAATGGATATTGCTCGCTTGTCTCGTTGGGAAGAAGAAGTCTGGTTTGAAGGGGTTCTTAGGTTTGTTTTTGGTTCCTACTTCCGTTTCAATTATAGGGATGTTGTTGGGTGTTTATTTTTGAACGGAAGATGGGGGGGAATACGATGGAGTTCAGGAGTGGGGAATTATTATGAACAGGGTAACGGGTTTGGGGTGGGGAAAGTTTATTGGTTTTTCTTTTTATTATTAACTAACTTGTTTGTCTTCCATTGAGATGGAAGAAAGGTGAATGATGATGCTTATTTATATCACTAATAATAATAATAATAATAATGTGGGCGGGTGATGGTGTTTATGATGATGATAATAATAATAGTTAAATATTATTATCTCTAATTTACGGTTGCACCCTTCGTACGTAACCATCATTCGAATCGTTTGATTGAACCTAGATTCGAAAGTCGGGGTGTTACATTTTCCATGAAATGTCCTGTGTTGAAACCCCTCAACAAAACAGCAAGGTGGAAAGGAAACACCAACACATCCTTGCTGTTGCTAGAGCCCTTCAATTCCAAGCAAACTTACCTCCTGCCTTCTGGGGTGACTGTGTCAAACATGCAGTACACCTTATCAATAGAGTCCCCACCCCTGTCCTTTCAAACAAATCTCCATTCTAAATCCTTTACAACAAACCACCAGACCTCACTGACTTGAGAGTCTTTGGTTGCTTGTGCTATGCCAGCACACTGGCCAACCACAGAACCAAATTCCAACCACGAGCTAGGAAATCAATCTTCATTGGTTACACTCTTGGTATATAAGGGTACAAGCTATATGACTTATCCACTCATGAAACCTTTACCTCCAGAGATGTCATCTTCTATGAATCTCATTTTCCATTTCACTCAAATCATCAACAAGATCCTTTACCCTCTGATCCAGACATTCTATTCCCCATTCCTTCTCCAAATTCTCCTCTGATCCATGAACCAACATCTACTTCTACACCTCACAATGTTGTTCCTTCTACATCCACTGATGGTACAGACCACCCATCCTCCTCCAATACAACTCCAACCTCTTCTCCACCTTCCACCCCACCTCCATCACCTGCTTCTAATCCTTCTCTTGTATCCTTTTCCCCAACACCACCATCTCCCCCTCCTCAACCTCAAGTTAGACGTTCTGACAGAACATCAAAACCCCCCTCCCATCTTGTCAAGAACTACCGTTGTTATCTATCTCAAGGACCTAGCAGAATCAATCACTCAAATCTGCACCAGATCCAAGACAACAGGTATTCCCTTTCCTAAATCTTATCTTACAACAATCTTTCTCTCCCATTCAAAAGATTCTTACTGAGCATCTCCAGTCACCAAGAAGCACAAAACTACAAGGAAGCCTCTAAACATGATATCTGGAATCAAGCTATGCAACAAGAGATTAAGGCTTTGATCAAAAATCAAACCTGGGATGTGGTTTCACTACCACCATGCAAGAAACCAATTGGCAACAAATGGGTTTACAAGGACAAGTTCCTTTCTGATGGTTCCCTTGAAAGGCACAAAGCTAGATTGGTTGCCAAAGGCAACACACAACAAGAAGGGATTGATTTTCAAGACACATTTGCCCCGGTCATCAAAATGACCACTGTCAGGACATTCCTAGCTATTGCAGCCCTCAGAAACTGGCATATCCATCAATTAGATGTGGATAATGCATTTCTCAATGGTGAACTACAAGAAGAAGTCTACAATGATTCTCCAAACTTACAGACAAGCTTCACCAGCTTGGATACATACAAAGCAAAGCAGACCATTCACTGTTCTACAAGGTTACATCTTTTTCCTACACATGCATTCTCATTTATGTCGATGATCTGGTTATAGGAGGCAATGACTTAACAGAAATTCAAGCATTGAAGGAGCTGTTACACAGAGAATTCAGCATCAAAGATCTTGGCAACTTGAGATATTTTCTAGGAATTGAAGTAGCAAGAAGCAATTCTGGCATTCATCTTTCACAGAGAAAATATACATTGGAAATACTTGAAGAAGCAAATGTTCTTGATTCAAAGCCTGTCACTACCCAAATGGACTACAAATTACATCTCAGCAATGATGAGAGCATTCCATGTGAGGATCCAGAACACTACAGAACATTGGTGGGCAAACTCATCTACTTGACTACTACTCGTCCAGATATTAGCTTTGTCTCTTGCCTTCACTGCTTCTAAAATCCAGTGGCTTCAATATCTGCTACAAGATTTCCAGGTCTCTACATCACTTCCTGCCAACCTCGACTGTGGCAACCAAAGTGCCATCTACATAGCCAAGAACCCCACTTTCCATGAAAGGATGAAGCACATAGAATTGGACTGTCACTTCGTCCGAAAAAAGCTCCAAATCGATACTCTCAAACTTCTTCACATCTCCTCTTCTCATCAGCTCGCAGACCTCATCACAAAACCACTTTCCCCAGCACCATTCAACACATTGCTCTCCAAGCCTGGTGTGCAAAACCTCTGCCCACGAGCTTGCGCGGGGGGGGGGGGGGGGGGGGGGGGGGGGGGTAACAGATTGAAAATCAATTTCAACGGTCATCTTCCCTGCGACGTCGTTCCTCTCTCGTTCCGGGATTTTTCGCTGCGCTGTCGTTTCCTTCCTTTCCCGCTGCGCTGACATTTTGAACCAAGTCAAGATGCTCTTGTTGCGATGTCGTTTGATGTAATGAGCTGCGCATTGTTCTTTCCCAGTTGATACTTGTATTTCTTTTCGTTCCAAGCCAGTAGTTGTTTCCATTCCAAACTACAAAACAGATGTATGTAATTTGTCATCTTCTTCCTTGTTCTGCCTATAAATTGCCAGTGAAAGTAATGAGAAAGGCAGTGAGCTATGTTTTATCACTCCAAATTTCCTTTGTTATCAGCGAAGGGTAAGAAGCCGCGGCAGCAATGGTGGGAGACCGGAGTCGTTAGCAATCACGAATACAATGTGCACGTGGCTCTGGTTTGTAGGCTAGGCAAGTCTGTGACTTGGGTTCCGCACCGCTACCTTCACCGTCACCGCCAACATCAGTCCCCAATTCGACGGCAGATTCCCGCACGGTATGGGCATTGCAATAGTAGAAACGAAATTGTATGCCTTTGGTGGTGCCGCTTGCCAAACCGAACCCGAAGGCTGTAGTCCGTATCCGCTCGATTTATATGTCTGCGCTCTGCCATTGAATCCCGAAAACTTCGAATCGCTCTTGTTCGTCGAACACACAAACAAACTGAAGGGACCCAAGAATTATTTCATTCATGTTCCCTACAAGTAGAGGAGCTTATTATGTTGGCTCAGTTTTATCATCCCTTCCCTGACGATCCGGTTTATATGTCTCAGCATCCGCCTCCAGCTCCTTGTGAGGTTTTGTATCTCAGTGATCTTAGTGTGGAGACTGTTGACGTCCCATTTTGGGACTGCAATTCGGGTCGAGATAGCTATCCTAGCTTCCATGGCCATGTGGTTGCAGGGGATGTACTGTATGTTGTTGTGTCACGCTGTTTGTATGGTCTTGACATGGTAAATCTAGAGTGGAGCATCATTGATGATCGTGGTAGGTCTGCATCCTTATCGTTGATGATGTACCAGGTGAGTTTCTTTCGTAATTCGAACTGCTCGAGTGTTGTTCGTGGTGGCAAATCTTTTCTGGTGAAAATGGTATCTGATCTGGAGGAATCCCTTTTTCTTAAGGAAGACAGGGATAGTGTGGTGGAGCTGGATGATCTATCTGAATTTGTGCGTAAGGAAACCAAGGATTACTTCATCAATGGTTTAGCGGTTGTCCCATTTGGAAATGATGGTGATGAAAACTCTAACGTGTTCTGTATCTTTATGTGGTATAGAAACTATGAGGGCAGATGTGATGATTTGTTCAGGATTTGTAGGATTACAGTGGTTGACAATGGGGCTCTGGTACTGCTGCATGCCCACTTACCCGTCACGGTCCGTCCCGTTCCTGAGGGTCGGGACGGATCCGTTTCTCTATAGGATCAATTTAGGGACAGGTCGGGTCAACTTATGGACGAGTCACTTTTTGACCCTGTGACCCTTGACAACAACAAATATCCCATACCAAATTGGACCTCTTTGTAAAAGTTTTCAAAGTTTAGGTTCTAAATTGCAAAAATAAAAAATTTTGGGTACCAAAATGTAATTTTACCATCAAAATTTATGGACTTATTTGTCCGAAATAAATTTTAGGTACTAAATTGTATGAAAGAATAATTTTGTGTACCAAAATGTAATTTTTAAAAAAAGTAGTGTATAAATTAGGGTCGACTCACTGATCCGACCCGTCCTATCCCTTGAGGGTCAGACGGGGTCAAGAAGGAGACAGGGACAGGACTGGACAGGACAGTTATACATCTTGACCCTTCAGGGACGGTCAGACAGGGTTAGAGACGGGTCGGGACAATTTTCAGCCCTAGGCTGAATGCACAAACTACCACTACAAGAAGATGTTTGATGGCAAGCCTAAAGATTTGCGTCCAAAGGAGGGTTGGAGAAAGCTAAGATATTGGCTAGATGAATGGAAATCTGGGTTTCCCAGTTGCAGCATTTTTTGTTTGAACACCTTCTCTTCGCTACAATAAAAGTGGTCTATGACAAGGGTTGTTTTGGTCTATAGCAAGGATTTAAACCCCTGCTACAAGATCTTGCAAGAGTTTTCCAACCTTTGGACAAATCTTTGGCAAAGCTGCCCTTACTACGTGTAGCAAGGATTTTGAGTGATCCTTGGTGGAAGTCCTATGCAGGGGTTCTACCAATGATTTTGAACCATTGCTACATTATCATGTGTTTAAAACCCTTGTTGTACATCACTAAAATTAAAATGGATTATAGACGCATAACTAACATTTAGCAAGGGTCTATAATTTGTTAACATTAAAGCAAACTATAATTTTCTCGTGACGCATAACTAACATTTAGCAAGGGTCTATAATTTGTTAACATTAAAGCAAACTATAATTTTCTCGTCACTAAATATATCGTCGCTAAACATATCTCGCCGCTAATATGCAGCCAAATTGCATCTTCCACGACAACAATCTTGTTACTAAAGTGAAGACATTATCGTCGCTAAATGTCCAATATTCCCGTCACTATATGTGAACCCAAATTTGACTGATGGCTCTGTTTGTCAACTGTATGTAATGTAACAAGGTCACATAACTTGAGATAGCAAAAAGAAGCATATATTAGCCGGCTAAACTCATAACACGACCATACATGCATACACTGATCAAGTAACTGATTAGTGTATATTGAAAAGTTAGGCGGAATAAAAAAAAATTAATGACGTTCGGATTTTGGAGCACAAAGTTACGGCCGCCCAAAGTTTGACGAAATCAAAAAAAGGCTCGTTCGGGGTAGCAAATGACGTTTTTTCGAGACGAAGGCGGGACCAAACCGCCTACGGCTGTTTGCGGCTTGCAAGATCTCGAAAATTTATTCGGATTCAAAAAAAAATCGCTATGATCGGATACCCGAGTGCAAAGTTATGTTCGTTTAAAGTTTCGGCCGAAGTTAGGAGTTGATCGAAAAAAAATAATTTGGACCAAACCGCTGGGTGGGGTGGCGGTTTTTGAAAAAGGTGGTATTTTTGGAATTTTTTGGGGTTGGGTGGTATTTTTGGAATTTTTTTTTAAACAGTGGTACTTTTGGATTTTTTCCGAAAAGGGTCGTATGGTATATAATATCAGAAAGCAAGTGAATATCATCCATGGTTATCTACTTGATTTCATAGACAATTCATTCATCCCTCAACCACATACTGGTCTTCCCTTTCAAATCATTTGATGAATACATACAGATAGCTATACCTTCCTTTCTCTGGGGATCCACACGAACGCTTTTTGTTTGGTGCACAGAGGTAGCAAGCAGCTGCTATATAGAAAGCGAAAGAGAGAACTATGGGTGCTTTATATTTGTATCTACACAAACAAACTCAGATGCTGAATGAAGGGATACATAAGAAGAAGAAGAAGAAGAAGAAGAAGAAGAAGAAGAAGAAGAAGAAGAAGAAAGGTTGTACCTCATCGTCATCATAATTAAACAAGAAAAGGGGGGAAACTAGGACGAAGTGTCACTCTTCCAGACCCAAGCACCCATCCATCCCCACAACAAACAATAGAAAAGTTCATGATAGGAAAGGGAAAGACTACTCACTTATGAAACGAAAGAAAGAAAGAAAGATGGAGAAGAAGAGATGGATAGATGGAGGGTGGTGGTGAGAGAGAGAGAGAGAGAGAGAGAGGTGAAGACGGTGGAATTATTAAGTAAGAGGAAGTGTTCGGGATGTGGGCCCCATACCTTTTTTATAGATGAAAAGGAGGCCCACCACATTTTCCTTGCCCTCCTTTAATTACTTGCCATTTCAGAATAACAAATATCTACTTGTCTTATTCTACACCTTTGCTTTGATGTGCTTTTATTATTTGTTCTTTTATTCATCCTCTCCTATTTCTCCTTATTTCTTTCATATTTTTGCACATATGGCAATATAACCACCCACCATTGCCACCCTTATTAATGCTCCCAAAACTTTGAGCTAACTCCTCCATGTATTCATCTATAACATGATTCAAATAATTTTCATTAATTAACGTAATCATAGGTGAAAAGAAGACTTATCTAATGTATTATCACCAATATATAAAAAAAAATGTGTAATGTAATGGTAGATGTCACAAGCTTTCTTAGAGACGGTCGCACTATCATTTGAGTTGAATGGATGGAAATTTTGCATGCATGATCCTCCAAATTAAATTGAAAGATGGGACCGATAAAGGTTTTTTAGCATATTGATTCATGGTTTGTACTCCATTTGATGTTTGTACTCCATTTGGTCGATACAACCAATCGAATCCACCCATGTTTCAATTTGATGAAGCCACTCAACAACTTTTCGGTGCTGAATAAGAGTTACACTTGGAACAATCATTTTGGGCAATTCTCTTTTTTTTTTTTTAATTAGAACTTTACCATTAAGCACTCCTTGGCAAAACGCACAAGAGTTCGAAAAAATACAAAAAGGCCATAGCCTCTACAACCATCTCGGAATGAGTGGAAAAGGAAAAAAAAAACTACTACTCTAGACAAAGCCTACAGCTAGCAGTTTTCTTTTCTGGACTTGAGTTTGGAATTCAAGGTTCCTGCAGACACAAACACGGATCTCTTCTCTTAACTGCTTCACCAGCAGCTTATAACTGCGTGCTTGCTCTCCAAACACCCTCCTACACCGTTCCTTGCAAACAAAGCATAAAAACCATCACCAAATGGCAGATTCAATCATACCACAGCTGCCATTTGAACGCACTCTGCTGCACATAACATCAAGCATAGCAAACCAGTCATTAGGTACGGAAACTTGATGTTTCAACACTTCAGCAATAAATTAAATCCTGTGTATACTAGCATTGACAGAATAATTGAACCCTGCTCTCCTCCAAATCACCACAAAGAGTACAGGAGCTATCCTGAGTAACTCCCCAGCTCTTAAGTTTGTCTATGGATATTAATCCAAGCAACCCAGAAGCTCCCCCTTGAAGGAGAAGCAACCATATGAGTCTAGCAGAGCAGCCCCATTCCAAGAGACCAAATCTTTTAATCCTAGTCCACCTTCCTTCTTTGGAAATGACAGAACCTCCCAAGCAACTTTTGCTCTTCCTGACTTATCTCCATGCCAAATAAAATCAGAACAAATCTTTTGAATTTCTTCAAGAACCTTCTTTGAGATAAGAAATATAGCCATCCAGTAATAAATGAGAGAGTAAATAACCAATTCAGTCAATTGTAGCTTACCAGCATAGGACAGTTTACTTGCCTCCAGCTTCTGATTGTGCCTGCGATTTTATCAATCAAAACAGCACATTCCCTACTAGACAGTTTACCAGCAATCAGTGGGATACAAATTCTCTTTATTTTCATCAAAATTAAATTTCTAATTTTCTTGTTTAAATTATAGATCATCTTGATGCGTTCTGTCTTATCAATCATGATAAAAATCCTTTGGAAATTGAACCCCAGATGTTACTTTAATACATAACATGAGCTAGCAGTGAGCGAGGTTGTCGCTTTGTAGTCAAATAATTTCCTTAGAAATAGGTAGTGCTAAATTTTATATAAACGTACACGAATTATTTGAATTATAGATGTACGTGTACATATAACACAATTCAATCATGGGACCCTATAGAAATTATGTTCATGTGCATTTAATTTAAATGAAGAGGGAGGGAGGAAGGTCTTACAGGTGTAGGGCAGGGGGAGAAGATAGTATAACAACACCCATTATGTTCTTACCCTAACAACAAGAGTATAAGGGTAAACTTACAAGATAATTAATAAAACTAGAAATAAAAAAAATAATAAAAAGCGTGTTTTTCTTTCTCCTTCAATCCCCAATTCTTCAGATCCCTATCGTATTCTGCGGCGATCGTTTTCTTCCCTCCGGCGCCGGCACAGGCGACGCTTCTTCCGAGGAGTTGCAATAGCAGATTTCTTTCCCTACCGGACCTCGATCTCCTCCGCCGCCATAAGCTTCTCTTCCGTCGCCATCAGCTTCTCCTCCCCTTCCTCTTCACAACCCCATCAAACTCCTCCGCCATGCTGCTAGACCCGCCGCCGCAGAATCTCTGCCACTACTAACAGGATGCCGCCATCGGAATCTCTCCTCCGAAGCCGACGGCTTTTCCTTCTGTGCATCTCCTCCGCCGATTTTTTTTTATGGAAGAAACTGCGAAATAGGAGAAGGCACAGAAGATGAAAGGCGGCCACAGCTGATGATGAGCTGTTGGAATGGGACGATCGAGATCTTGCAGATTTTATCTATCTAGATATGGTGAGCGATCGAGGTCTTCTTAGGGAATGGATGATGTTGGAATTGTATGTTGATGAAATTAGCATGCAGGTGTGCTGGGTATTTATAGGGGCTATTGATTCTGTTGTTGGGGATTCGAGGAAGGTTGTCGGGGAGACGAGGTCGTCGGCCGGGATGGAAAGTTTGGCAAGAGCCGGCGGTCGGGGCTCAATTCATTAAGAACGTATTTGGATTTGTCAAACATTTCATCAATTTGCCAAGGAACTATTAATTAATTAACAACTCTTCCACCACAAGGAAATTTCAATATTTGACCAATGTTGGTGAACCAGTTACTACACTTCATTAGTTTGTTTTATAGTCTCTGTGTAGCTATTAAGCTGCAATTTTGAGTTTTTGGAGCATCAATCTTCTTTCTCCCCTTATTTGATTGAAATCTTTGAAAGTGTTGGCATATTTTTACAAGTTCCGGTAGTTTCAAGTTCACTTGAAAGCATATCAAAAGTCTTGGAATGCACATCATAAATCTTATAAAACATACCACAAATATCACAAAAGCATACCACAATTATTTCGAAAGCATACCAGAAACCCTCTAATGCATACCATAAATTCTCTAAAACAAACCAGAAACACCACAAACCAAACCACAAATATTTTGAAAGCGCACCAGAAACCTCATAATGCAAACCACAAACACGTTAAAGCAAACAAAAAAAACAAACCAGAAACGTCCTAATGCAGACCAAAAATCTACTTAAACAAACCAAAAATCCCGCAAAGCAAACCGCCGAATTTTAAAAAACACACCAGAAACCTCATAATGCAAACCACAAACACGATAAAGCAAACCACAAAAACAAACCAGAAACGTCATTATGCAGACCAAAAAACTATTAAAACAAACCAGAAACCCCGCAAAGCAAACCACAAAATTTTTGAAAGCAAACCAGAAACTTCTTAATGCAAACCACAAACACGATAAAGCAAACCAGAAACTTCTCAATGCAAACCACAAACACGATAAAGCAAACCACAAAAGGCATACGAAAATATGAGAAACCAAACCATAAATCTCACAATGTAGACCATACATCCAGTGGTCGTTGACCGTTGAACGAACTCCGATGACCGTCAGTGAGCAGATTCCGACGCCGATAGGCATATTCCGGCCCCGATGACTAGATTCCGATGCCGGTAAGCATATTCCGGCGACAGTGAGCATGTTCCGGCGGCGGTGAGCATATTCCGGCGACAAAATAGCATATTCCGGTGACCGGCGACCGGTGGCTGAATTCCGGGGACCAAATTTTTTGGCAGAAAATAAAAAAATATTTTTTTTATTTTTTTATTTTTTATTATTATTTAAACATATTTTTCATAATGACAATTATACCCCTGTTTTGATTTTACACTAGGTCAACTAAACTCATAAAAAGTCATCACAATCCTAGTTTCCTATTGGTTGGAGACTAGTGTTGTTACAATAACAACACATATGGTGTTGTCACCATATCCGCTCCCCTCTCTCTCCAATAATAACATAATAATAAACAACAATTTTGACAGATATCACAGAAACTAGTTATTATTCAATTTGATGAGAAGAGAACCCCACTTTTCTTCCATCACCATCACCATCGTAGGAAGAAGAAAAATGTAAAAAACCAAACACACATAGATAACAGGGGTTGTTTGGACGAGGAATTCTAATGGATCAATCTGACACAATTGTCTCGTTTTGAGCCAATTGTGCTAGATTGATCCGTTTGACCGCAGAAAATTTGGATGAAACAATTTGGGCTGGGGAATTCTGGATTGACTCATTTTGAGCCAATTACAATTGTCTGGGGTGGGGGCATGTAATCTGAATTGACTCATTTTAAATGACTCGTTTTGTAAAATAAAACAATTGATCAAATTTTATCGTTTTACAATTGATCCATCCAAGCGACTCCACTTTTTTTCCTTTCTTTGTTTTTGCAAGAGGGAAGAAGGAGCAATGGATTGGGTTTTGATGTTAACAGTACTACTACTCATAACTGCCACCAGCCTTCTCAGTCTTCATGTTCTATTCATGATTTTGTTCCTCAACAACACCTACAACAACAACAACAACAACAAAAAAAACTTTATCTGTTGTTGTTTAAACAAGGTTACGTCAGTCAGCAACTTTTGGGAATAATCCTATTAATTCCTTACGCTTTCCCAGGACTGTCATATGAAAGTGATCACCAGGGAATGTATTGATAGTAAAAAACTAAAAAACCATTTTTTTAGATTAAAATAAACAAACAAGCTAGGCGGCAAATTTCACTGTCACTGAAAGCTACCCTAGCTACCCTGCATTCTCTGTTGGCCTCTATAAAAAGTGAGATTTTCTTTACCATTCTCATCTCAACTCTCAAGGGTGTCTAGCTAGTAGCTACTTGGGTCAATTCTCTCGCCTTAAAGTGGACACTCTTTCTGTTCTCACTACCAAAGATGAAAGCACATACAACTCTGTATACATTATATACGAATTATAAAAGAGAAAAGGCTAGGCTGACTGGCCATTTCTTGGCAAATAAAAATCTAGGTCTTTGTTTCAGTCCTCCACATGATCAAATGAAACATTAAAATAGGTGTTTTGGGTGGGAAATATGTCTTATAAGTTATATCAGGGGCGGAGCTACACAGGGCCTAAGGGGGGCCCCGGCCCCCCCCCCCCCCCCAGGAATTTCGAAAATCACGAAAGAATGTACGAGTATTCTGAAAATTACGAAGTAAATACAGGTTTATAATAATGGTCGCGGGTTAAAAGGTATCTAAAGTAGCCGATTACCCTAGTGGAGTTTATAGTGGTTTTGTATCAAACAGGTCAAGGGTTCAATCCTCACCTATGTTAGTTTTTCGGTTGGAGTTTTTTACAATTTTATAGCTTTAATGGAAAAAATTTCCCCGATAAGTTTAACAAGAATGTCAATCTAATTATTTGACAAAACATCTCGTACATTTTGATAATTTACACAATTAATTTATTTATATAGTTATATAATTATTTTGATTTTTTTCTTATTACGATAATATACGAATCATTTCCGGCCCCCCCAAACCCAAAATCCTAGCTCCGCCCCTGAGTTATATCATATGTGTTGTTAGAGCTAGGTTGTTAAAAGTGAAAGTGGTGTCATGATTCAGTAGTGTACTGCTAAAATAACAGAATGGAAATTGGAAAAATCCTTTCAACAATACTCATATATGATAAGTCGTGATAAGAGTAGCAGTATGTAGAAGAATGTTTGGCGAAATAAAATAAAAGATATCATTTATTCTTTAGGGATATAATAATGTATCGCGATTGCACCTCAACAATTTATTTTCCATCAATTGAGTTGATAAAGTACATAAATATACAAGAGAAGTCTAATCGGCTGACAACTAGCATAATGTGATCAAATTGTTCATGTGTAGTGTAGTAAAAAATCTACTGGTTAAACTACGATTATACCATTAAATATCAGTTTGCCAATCTGGCTAGTATAGCCTCTGGTAAGATTTCGTGTGATAAATATTGCTAGTTAGCATATTCTCGAACGGGAATAACATTTACTCTAGAGTTACACAGGCTCAAGATAGGGTGCATAACCATGGGTTATGCATCCATCAATAACCAAATCTGAACCCTTCATTTAGAAAATCCAGATCTAAAGATGGAGAATTAAAAATCATTTTTATTTTCTTAAAAGTCGTAAATGACAATTAATATATTTCTACTATCATGTATTCAATCATCCTACAGTCTTGGTTTGTTCATATCACCATGGTACTTTTTTCAAACCATAGGCATGCTTTTATTTCAATACCAGTCAATACCATATGGTATAGACTGGTAAAAAATTGCTCAATTTTTTTTGTTCGAAAAATATATTAAAGTGGATATCATTTTGAAGAGCACAATTAATCTGATCTAACTGTGCAAAAAAAATTAAATTTCGACTTAAAATGAGTGAGAAATCGTTCGTCAAAGATTAAAGAGGGGAAAATTAAAGGCTTTACAGGAGAGAGAGGATGCTGATGTCATGCTGATGTGGACGGGTTACTCATGGTTACTCACCACAAGGTTACTCACCGGATCTGCTCCCAGTTACACAGGGAAGGATAGTTTTCCTTTTCTTAATGAGCCCATCTATTATACTTGAAAACCTTGGGGTTGCCATATGTAAGTTGAATTTGTACCATAGTATTAAAGCTTAAAGGTACAAATTTATATTATAATATACCAAAAATAAATTTGTAAAAAAAATTTTGGTACAAATTTATATTATAATATACCCAAAATAAATTTGTAAAAAAAATATTGGTACAAATTGAATATATGAGGTAATTGTTCAATGTGTACCATAAATTTTTTTGTATAAGTATTCTTTTTCGCTGAACAAAAGCCGAATTTCTACCATAACTTTAAAAATTCAAATTTAGTTTGTCCATAAAGATTTACTTAATGATAGCATGGACATTTCCAAGCATTTTAAAATTACTTTTTTAACATGTATAATTGAGTAGTCTCGACTTGAGATTGTATGGGTCTTCCAAAGAACTGTATTTCTATGTGTTATCCGGTGGGAGAAATTGGCGGGTACATCTAACTTCCTTGTCCAATAAAATCTGGGATAATATTACCTATCGGGAAAAGGGGTGAGAAATTATATTTCAGAATTTTTGTAAAGTGATTTTCATGAATTAAATTGATATCGACTTTGGCAGGAACAGATCAGGTGGGTAAATTTTTGGTGAGTAACAATGAGTAACCCAACCAAATAACATCAGCACCGGCCGGCTCCGGCTACGGCACCTATCTAACTAAATCTAAACCTTTTGTTTTAAGTGAGCCCAAAAAATCCAAATTTTAGTATGGAGAATTAAAAATATTTTTTTTGCTTGTGCATGTCCTCATTCAATTGGACCAAACTGCAATTACTACTCCTATCCCTAGGAGCAGCCCGCCAATGTCAGTATATAATAATTCTATCCAGTTCAATATATGAATGAATAATAATCTTATGATTGCTCTGTCACGCAGGCCACAGTGCCTAGGATTCTGGCCTTTGGATTTGGCCACATATAATCATCCGTGTACATGACGTAGCATTAGCATTAGCATATAGCAATAATAATATTCTAATTCTAATGAGTTGTAAAAAAAAAAATATATTCTAATTCTAATGCCAAAATAAAATTGGCACCTATCAGTTGTCTTGCGAGAAAATTCTCAAGTGGAATCTTAACTGGACAAAGTAATTTCAAGGTTAATATTCGAATTATACCTAAATAATTAACTTTGATTAGTGATTTCAGAAATTTCTATCCTAACCTCAACTATACACCATATAAACTACTAAAATGGAATGCGTAAATTTCCATAAAATTAAACGGTCAACTGTTGACCGTTAATGAATCAGCATATAGTGCTGATGTGGATGCCAGGTAGATAATAGAAATTAATAAAATATCAATAATTTAATAAAATCAACAAAATAAATTAACAAAATCCTCTTCTCTCACCGCTGGACCCTTCTCTTCCGACCGATTAGAAGAAGAGAGTCGTCGCAGTCGATTGACCGAGCTGCCGCTGCCGAAACCCAGAAAACCAAAAGCCGATCGCTGCCGAAATCCCCGACGATTGGCCTTCTTCCCCTCGGCCCCAGCCGCGGGAACGTCATCTCCGTCGCCTAGTCGTCGCCCCGGTGATTCAACCCAGTAGCCTTACCTGTCGCCTTGCCTTGCCCTCCTTGAACACGAAAATCTGCCACTTTGGGGCGGCGCAGCTGTGCGGAGGGAGCAAACCAAGTTTGAAGATCACGACTCTAGGAGAGAAGGGGAAAATCAAACCAATTCAATGAAAGTGGTCTAGTAATTACATACATGTTGCATCAACATTGCGATCAGCAAAATTACCATGATTGTCTTCGGTACGTAGCTCAACGCTTCTGCTAAACAAGAATAAGAATATTGTAACTTGCGCAAAGCTTTAACCCATTTTGTGTTATGACTTGGCGTTTGATTTTCTTGCATGGTTATGTGTAGGGGTACACATTTGGTTTTCGGTTAGCAGATAATCAACTGTTAGACAGTAAATCGATTTTTAACGGCTACCGAAAACCAAGTGGCAAGGGATATCGTTCGGTGGACGGAGGAGATTGTGTGATGGTCGGTTAACCGCATAACTGGTGGTGGCTAACCGTGGATAACCAGCTAACCGACCATCACCGAACCACATGTAGTAGCGGCCTCTCCAATCCTTTCTATCAAAATGAAAAAAATCCCTCAATCTTCCTTCAAACCCTAAAGTAAACACCCGACTGGCCGACTCCGTCCTCATCCCACCCCATGTCGCGCCGCGCCTTCGTCTCGGACCTCCTCCGGCGGTGATTCATCCACCTCCGCCCTTGCTCTTCCTCGGCGACTGCAGCCGCTCCTCCTCCTTCGCGTAGTGTAGCAATGGAGAGGCGCGCAAGAGCCTGAAGCGCGAGCAGTAGAGGAAACTGAGCCTGACAGCTCCTACTCCTTCCGCCGTTCTTTTGTTGCCACCGCTCCGCCTTCTTCCCCGCCGCGTAGCTTGCCATCGAGAGAAGCAGAGGCAATTCGCCTCTCTTCCGGTCCGCCTCACTTCGGCAGCAGGCGACAACAGCCAATATCTTGGTTGCACGGCTAACTGAGCCAAAAACTGGAAACCAATCGACTGGTGGGTCGGTTAACCGTGCTTCTCTGTCGGTCAGTTGTCGGATGGATTCTGGTGGTTTGGCTAACTGATAACTGGATTTTCGATTTTTTTGGTTAAACAGAAACCGACCGTATTCCACCTCTAGTTATGCGGTGACATTGACACTCACCCAACCAAATTTCTCTTACGTATCTTGGGCTACTAGTTTTCTTTCGGCTGGGCCTCAACTTACTATTCTCTTGGGCTCGGCCGCAAAAAGTGTTCTTTCTATTTGACATCGTTAAAAGAAAAAACATGTCTCTCTCCTCTCTCTCTCTCTAACGGAAGTTTCCTCTGAACCGAATAACTGCTCTTTTTTCGTCCCCGTCGTTGGGACTTCTCCAGCTCGCTCTGTGAGCGCCATTTACAATCCCCAACCACCCAGAAAAGATTGCAGGGATCCATTGGAAAAGATAGATGGAGGAAGTCGGAACAAATCACCAACAAGAGATGCCCACATGGAGATTGGAAAAGGCAGGGGAAGATCTGCAAAAGAAAGAAAGTTAAAAGGGATATGGAAACCACCAGACTATTCAATATCAGTCTTCCAATGTCAGAGATGGAAGAAGAGAAGAGTACAAAGGAATAGATGAGCTAAGGGATGCTACCCAGGAATAGCCACAAGCAATAAATGGAAGAGAGGCGATTACCTTGAGCCAAGTGCAGCCGAAACAGAGCAAGGTGCAGCCGAGACAGAGATGGAAAAGCATAACAGAGGAAGAATATGTCAACAGAGGGATAATGAAAGCTTTGACAAGATACACAACCACCACCAACTTGGAGAAAGTAAACTCTACCTTCATGAAGAAGGATTTCAAGAGGGCGAGAGGGGAAGTAGAAGTGTACATGTCTACAAGAGAGCTCCCAAAACAAAAGCTGGTCACCCCTCTACAAAACTTCTGGCCTCCCCTACAAACACCACCAAAAACCCAGCTGATCCCTTCCGGGTCTCCCCTGCAAACACCAAAAACTCTAAAGCCCAAGTTAACCCCCCCCCCCCCCCTTCAAACACCATGGAAATCAGCAATAGCAAAGCCCCAAGTAGGGCTAGAAATGAGATTGGAACTACCTTGTCATCCCCAAGAAACAGAGGCGAGCGTCCAATCCTCTCATCCAACGGAGGCAGAGGCATCTCAATGATGTTGGGGAAGATGCTCACCGAGAACAAAGTTGCTCTGGCTAAGGCGGCAGGGGCGCCACGCTACGCTTGGGGAGGATATGGAGAGGTGAACGTACAACCAACGGAGACCCAGAACCTATTCATCTTCACCTTCAACAATGAGGCAATTAGGGAGAAGATATGGAGGGACCGACCATGAAGCCTATCAAATACTCTAACGGCTGTCGAAAAATACAACGTAAGAGGTAAACCAGAAGAAACTCCCATAGAGAAGGTAGCCATGTGGGTGCAGATTCATGGTATTCACCAAAACCAGAGGAGCGAGGAGAACATGGTGGCGATAGGCCCTCATTACTTCCCAGGGATGCTCGACCTGGATAGAGCGAGCTTGGAATTTACAGGATACCGGAAGTTTCTGAGGATTCTAGTGGAGGTCAACATTGAAGAACCAATTCCGACCGGTTTTGACTTCCCATTCACAGACGAAATCACGGGAAAGGATTACTGCGATGTAATCGATTTCAAGTATGAGAGGTTGGTGGAATTGTGTTATTTCTATGGAAGAGTAGGCCACAACTGGCCGACTTGCTGGAGGATGAACGAAGAGGAAGAGGAATGGAGTAGCTTACCTGTCTGAGGTATACAATTCCTCTCTCAAGGCGGGAATAGATTATCCTCATAGGCACCATTCGGCCAACTACAGAAGCAGCAGGGAGGGGGAAGGCTCAAAAAGCTATTTGGAGGAAGAGAGAGCGCGAGGTCGGGAAGCCAGAGCAGATCGAAAGGGGTAGAGGGAAGAGTTTCGTCGGGTTCGGAAGGCAGGTTCTCTGAAGGGAATCTTCAAATCCCTCCATGTTTTACTGTGAGAAGGCTGGAGGAGGAGGTTCAAGGAGAGGAGGAGCAAATCGCGCTGGGGAGATGGAGAGGGAGGTACAGGGAAGAGATGGGGGCGACGAATTTGAACGTGGAGATGGATAGGGTGGCGGCGGCGATGGAGGCAGGGCTTCGATTGGAAGAGGGGAGAAGCGCTCAGGAAAGGGGGCGGATTCCAGTGGCTGTTGAGACTATGTTGTCTCTTGGGCCAACTCAAGCAATCACCCCAGCCCACATGTCTGTCCAAGAAGGCCCATATGAAATAGTTGAGTATCAACATGTACAAGATGAAAGGGAAGGGGAGATAGGACGAAAGCAAAAGAAAATGAAGGGTATGGGCCTATTGGGTGGTAACAGGCCCAGCGCCGATTTAAGGGAGGGAGAAGCTATGTTTGATGGGCCAGATGGTGTCTTTGAAATGGGTGGGCCGGGGGAAGTATCCAAAAGAAAGAATCTGAAGTTTAAGCCCATGAGCCATAATACTGACAAAGGGAATCAGTCAGAAAGCGAGCAAGAGGGTCGAGGAAAGAAGAAAAAGGCAGCGGTGGTTCGCCAGAAGCCACCTCGTCAAGAATGAGTATGGTAAGTTGGAATTGTAGGGGTTTTGGCCCAACCCTTCCAAGGAGTTATGCAAACGTCTGTGTAGACGTTTAGGCCCTTCGATTGTTTTCCTCATGGAAACGAGCAAAAATGAGGCATTCATGGAGGAGCAAAGAAGAAGTCTCAGAATTTTCCCCAACAAAGAGTATGTGGAACCGGTTAACTCTTCAAGGGGCTTTGCGCTATGGTGGAAAGCGGGTATTAGCATTAATATTTTAAGTAGTGATAGCTATTATATGGATTGTAGTATCGATATGGGTAGGAAGTTCTTGTGTACTTTTGTTCATGCACCCTCTATCGCTGTTAGTAGAAGGGAATTTTGGGAGCATCTAAGCTCTCTTTGGAGTAGTAGGGAGGATAACTGGGTTATTGTAGGAGACTTCAATGCTACTATCTATGAAAGCGAGAAGGAGGGGAGATGCCCTCTTGGGTACGAGAATGTTGAACCTTTTAAAAGGTTTATTTTCGACAATGCTCTTATAGATATAGGGTTTAAAGGAGAACCCTTCACTTGGACCAATAAGCGTACCGGTGAAAATACAATGAGAGTCCGACTTGATCGAGTGTTGTGCTCGACTTCATGGCGTGTCCTATTCGGGGATGCAACCGTTTTCCATGAAAAGATGGTTGAGTCGGATCATTGCCCAATCAGGCTGGAGCTCTGTTATAGAGGGAATAGGAGAAGAAAGACACCCTTCAGAGTAGATGAAAGATGGTTGGAGAAGGATGAATGCAAGGAGATAGTGGTCTGAGCTTGGGATCCATGAGGGAAATCGTCAAACCAGCTGGCCAAATGCGAACAAGATCTTAAGGAGTGGTCAAAAGACTTTCATAGGAACAATCTACAAAGGGAGAAGGATATACTGGATCGACTTGATATTCTCCAACGACCTCCAAGAAAAAAGTCTCATTGAGGAACTGTCTAAGATGTGGAGGGAGGAGGAGGCGTTCTGGAATCAGTGCTCAAGAGTTAAGTGGCTGCAGAAAGGTGATCTGAATAACTCCTTTTTTCATTCTAGCACGATCTATAGAAAGCATAAGAATAGAATTCTTAGACTAAAGGATGAGAGAGGCGATTGGATCGAGGAAGAAGATAGGCTGAAAGGGTTGACCCAGGATTTCCACAAAGACCTCTTTAGAGCTAGAGACCAGATTCCCTTTACCCACCTTCTGGATGGCTTCCCAGAAAAGGTTACGGAGGAGATGAATACTGCTCTTTGTGCCCCAGTATCAAGTGAGGAAATCAGGAAAGCAGTATTCTCACTAGGAGCAAAAAAGGCTCCAGGTCCAGATGGTTTCTCGGGTAGATTCTACCAAAGATTCTGGGATATTATTGGGGAAACGGTTTGTAGATAGGTTAAGGAGTTTTTTGAGACAAGTACAATGCCGAATGGATGGAATGATACACATATAGTCATGATTCCTAAAGTGGACCACCCATAATTGATAAGCCAGTTTCGACCTATTAGTTGCTGCAATTTTAGATATAAAATTATATCGAAGATTATGGCAACCCGATTGAAGATCTGGACGCCTGATCTGATCTCGGAGATCCAAACAGCTTTCACCGGAGGCCGGCTTATCCAAGACAATGTCATTATTGTCCATGAGGCTCTCTATCATTTCAAAAACCACAAGCGGGGAAGGAGAAGGGACATGATGCTCAAGTTGGACATGAAGAAGGCATATGATATGGTGGACTGGGATTGTCTCGAAACTCTGCTGAAGAACTATGGGTTTGATGACAGATGGTGTAGATGGGTAAGCTATTGCATCAGGACGGTCAACTTCTCAATCCTCTTCACTGGTGAAGCAACAGAGGAGTTCAAACCGTCAAGGGGAATTAGACAGGGAGACCCTCTCTCTCCCTTCCTTTTCATTTTGATGTCTAATGCTCTTACTTTTCTGATTGATAAAGCGATTTCCCAGAATCGGTTAAAAGGAATAAGGTTGAACGCGAGATGCCCGATTCTCACTCACTGCCTGTTAGCGGATGATACAGTGATCTTCAGAAAGGCTGATCTACAAGAAGCAGAGAAAATTCTGGATATAATAAGATAGTATGGAGTCATCACGGGACAAGAAGTGAATACCAACAAATCATCTGTTTTCTTCAGTGCGAATGTACCCGATGTGGACAAAGGTGCAATCGTTGGTCATATCGGGTTTACCTCTTCTAACTTCCACTCCAAGTACTTAGGAGTTCCGACGGAATGGGGGAATTAAAAGAAGGAAACTTTCCAATTCCTTATCCAGAGAATGGAGAAGATGAGTGAAGCATGGAAAAGCCTCCTCCTTTCTCATGGTGGGAAAGAAGTGTTGCTTAAAGCTGTCATCCAAGTCATTCCTTCCTACATCATGTACCTATTTAACCTCCCAGTGAATCTGACCAAGAAGATAGATTCCCTCCTCACCAACTTTTTCTGGTCGGGGTCAATGCAGAAAAGCACAATGCACTGGTGTAGGAAGGAAATCCTTTGTGCTCCAAAAGCATAAGGGGGACTGGGGTTCAGAAGTTTCAAATATTTTAACATGGATTTGTTAGCAAAACAAGCGTGGAGAATCCTTAATTACCCTGATGCCTTGTGGTGTCGGCTCCTGAAGGGTCTGTATTTCCCGAGAGATGGATTCCTGCAATCGAAAAAAGGAAGTAGATCCTCTTGGATTTGGGCAAGTCTGTGGGAGGCAAAAAAGGTTATCAACATGGGAGCAATTAGAGTCATCGGTTCAGGAGAGGATACTTGGATTGGTCAAGATCCATGGATTCCAAACTTGCTAAATTTTGTCATCGCAAGCGGCCCCCAACAGAACCTGAGGGTAAAGGAATGGATTGACCCAGTTAGCAGGAGCTGGAACACGGAGCTGCTCCAAGGTCATGTGACGAGAGAAGAAGTGGAGGCTATTCTCAAAATCCCAATTGGGGAGGAGGGGTCTGATGATTTCTGGGCTTGGAGTCTCACCCGTGAGGAAGAGTTCTCGGTCAAGACAGCCTACCACGCTGTTCATAAAGCCAACACAAATTTCCATTCGACAGGAAGTAAAGAGAAGTGGAAATGGATTTGGGGACTGAATATTCCACCTAAGCTTAAATTCTTTCTATGGAGATGCTCCAGAAACGGGTTGGCAACTAAAGAAAGACTCTTCCAACGTAAATGTGCTCTGAACCCGACTTGCCAAGTGTGTCATAACCCTATCGAGTCCCTTAATCACTGCCTTTTCTACTGCCCACATGCCAGTGATTCGTGGAATAGTACTTTCCCATCCCTTCCGTCTCCTCCTCAGGGCACCTCTTTTTTCGATTGGTTCTGCTCCCTCAAAGATACCATCCCACAAAACTCCCTAATTCATATTATCTACCTCTGTTGGAACATTTGGAAGGCAAGGAACGAGAGCACCTTCAAGAATCGGGCACCCTGGCCCCCAAACGTGTGTCTGCAAACCTATAGAGAGCTTACAGAATGGATTGCTTGCCCGAGGCCCCCACCTCAAGATTCTGATTGTCCCACTCAGCTTAGGGGATCCCGTCCTGCTACGAATCTACCGCCAAGTAATCACTCGATAGTGATTCAATGTGATGGGTCATTTTTTAGCGACCCCCAGTCGGCGGCATATGGTGTTGTTGTCGTTAACCACCATGGACAAGTGTGGGATGGGAGAGCTGAAATTCTTCTTTGTTCCACTCCGATTGAAGCGGAAGCAAAGGCTCTTTTGGAAAGAATTAAATTAGCACAAGAATATGGATCGGTGTGTACAGTTCAATCTGACTGTCAATTGCTGGTAAAGGCCCTGAACCATAATCAGTCTCGATAGCCCTGGAGATGTGCAGCATGGATTGGAACAATGGTCAATATCCTTAGAACTAACCCAGCTATTTCGGTGAAAGAGGTTCTGAGGGCTTTGAACGTCAGAGCTGATTGGGTAGCACGATCAAAAGCTAAATCAATTCTACCAGATGACTGGATTAATATTCTTGATCTAATTTCTGTTCTCCCCTAAAATTGTAATGGCTTATGCGTGTTTTTTCGTATGGTGGAATAAAAGTTGATACTATTTGTAAAAAAAAAAAAAAAAACTGTCATCGTTATTTGGGATTGGGAGCAGCCTGTTCAATGGCAATTGTTTGGGCCTCCTGGCCTTGCGAAATTGCTACGCCAAAAAGTGAAGGAGGCAGCAGAACACATAACTGACGCGTGTGAAGCGTGTCACTATCAAAATTCAATCTCCCGTTTCCCGATCCGCCACCTTTTCCCCAATTCAACTCCCCGACGGGCTCTCCAGTCCCAGAGAGGGAAAAGGCCAATATTCCATGAAATCTTTGGCAAGGCGGAAGAAGAAGAAGAAGAAGCAGAAGAGAGATGGGGCTGCTTTCCAACAGGTGAATTCTGAATTCTCTCTTCGTCTTCTTTTCTATGCTTGCTTTCTGTTTCATTGCTTCTGGGTGATTTGTGTTGGAACTGAAAGTCGGGAGATTTATGGCTCCAAACAGGATCTCTAAGGACAGTTTAACACCAGGGGATCACATTTATTCCTGGAGGGCTGCTTATGTTTACGCACATCACGGTTAGCTAATAGCTTCTTGCTCTCTCATTTCACACTTCCGATTCTTAGCACGTGTCATCGCAACTTCATTCACATGGGTCGCTTTACAATTCATTACTCTGTTTTGCTTTTCGTTTGGTGACGATGAGACCAGTGACGGAGCCAGGATTTGAAACAATCCCTGTCCTCTTTTCAAAATATAAATATAAATAATTAATTAATAAATAAATAAATAAAATTAAAATTAATAATATCCAAATAATCCATTCATATATAAAGAAATCTCCTTTCCCCTACCGCTGCAGAGGCGGAACTGCTGCTGTCGAGTGTCATCTCTCGTCTGTCTTGTGCAGTGTGAAAATACGAAGAGGGTAAAGGGATTGGATTAGGTTTTTTGTTTAATTGGGATTTCGTCTCTCGATACTTGTGTGGAACACATGGGGGTATTTTTTTTCCAAGTAAAAAACGACCCCTGTCCTGTGACAGGCGCAAATGTGGCTGCCTCCGCCTCTGGATGAGACAATGCTCAACTGATACGCTGGCCGTTGGTGCTTTAGCGGATTCAAACTTCTATCATCTGTTCTTACTTAGGGCTGCATTGCCCAGTCGCCTGTTGTCCCATCCGTATGATCCATTTCAACATTGCTTCTTGATCATATTAGTTGGGTGCTCCATTTGCACTTCTGCTCGCAGTTTGTAGTGTTGTTAGGAGCTTAGGGAAAGTGTTCTTCCCTTCTGTGTAACTCTGTCTCTGTGGCGGGGTTTAGTAGGTACCATTCTCAATGTTGGTGGTTTCTGCCCATGCCATCTTAGATGATATATTACATGCTGAGTTTTAGGCTCTTCACTGTTACTCTCGTCACAATAATGACCCACAACATTCGGCTTAATGAATCATAGGAACTGTCTATCTAGTATTTTCCAGGTTTTATTGTGATCTTAAGTTCTTTTACCCCTGAATTGCGATCAGGTATCTACATTGGAGATGATAAAGTAATACATTTCACTAGACGTGGCCAAGAAGTTGGAACTGGAACCGTACTCGACTTTCTTCTAGTCAGCTCAACCCCCAAAACACCTCTAATCCCTTGTCCGATGTGCTCTCCACGTGAAGAAGCCGGTAACAATGGAGTTATCCTCTCCTGCATTAACTGCTTCCTCTGCGGCGGCAACTTGTACCGGTTCGAGTATGCCGTCAACCCTGCTCTCTTCCTTGCAAAAGCTCGTGGTGGAACTTGCACTCGCGCGGTCTCTAACCCAGATGACGTCGTTGTCCATCGTGCGAAGTTCCTCCTGGAAGAAAATGGGTTCGGATGCTACAATGTGTTCAAGAACAACTGCGAAGACTTCGCTATCTACTGCAAGACAGGTCTTCTCGTCTTCATCATTCAGACCACAATGGGACAGAGAGGTCAGGCTGTGTCGTATATAGGAGGCCCACTCGCTGCGGTCTTATCTACTCCTATGCGGCTTGTCACCACGAATGTCTATGGTATGGCAGCAATGGCTGTGGGGGTTTATTGTGTCAGCAGGTATGCTGCTGATATCGGCATCAGGACGGATGCAGAGAAGGTCAATGTTGAAGACTTGACAAGGAGGCTTGCTGCTGGGCTGGTCCAGGTGGTTGAACCGCAGATTGTGCCGATAGAGAGTCAAGAAGGACTGCACATTAGCTCCTGAAATTGCGTTGGTCTTTCTCATGTCGTATGTTTGAGGAAATAAGATTGATTCTGGAATTATGAAGATCGAATTAAACAGTGTGTGTCTCTGTTCTCTGTGTTATTTCTTATGAAGTTGTTACTGGCCTCCTGCAGTCGAATATTGATTATCTGGGGCTTGCAATGCATTTGATTTATCGTTAGTCCAACTGTTTTGAATTGTTTTATCATGTCGAGTTGACTCAGGATTTTGACATCACCGTTTGATCATGTAGAGTTGACTCAGGATTTTGACATCACTGCTAGTACATAAATAGAGCGAATTAGTGTCACCAGTAATCCCTACATGAACAAGTACCATCTTTAAACCGATGAAACCTAACCCTATCCCTAACAATAATCTCCCTATTGTACATCTTCGATATGAGTTTAATCACAACGTGACAATCCCCACAAATCCTCAGATTCTTGATCACTTGAATTGGTCTCGCTTCATCCTCTGCACATATCAACCCAAATGCTACAGCAAGCTTCTCACTGTGCTGATACAACGCATTCTCCTTCTCTTCATCTCCTATATCATGCAACACAAAGCTCGTCTCAGCTGCGTATCCAAACTCCTTCATCTTGAACCTGATTTCTTCCAACTTGCCATAGATCTGCTTACAGTGCTTATGCGCCTTATCGGCATTATAAAACTTGTGAATTACACCCTTCTCTTCAATGTAGCTAAATCCAGGAGTTTTTCTCACATCCTTGTTCTTCATCACGTCCCTAATCCTCCCCACATCAGCCCATCTCTCATGTGCAGCGTAAATGTTTGACAGCAGAACAAAATTGCCATCGCTAGTAGAGCCCATCTCCACCAGTTTCCTAGTCACCATTTCAGCCATGTCCACGTTCTTGTAAGTTTTGCAAGCGCCGAGTAAAGTCTGCCAGAGAACCATGTCAGGCAGCATCGGCATGGAGTCGATGACATAATAAGCCTGCTGGAGGCGCCCAGCTCGCCCTAACAAATCAACCACGCTTCCATAGTGTTTCACGTTAGGTGTTAGCCCCAAGCTCTGCATAGAAGTGAATAATTTGTAGCCTTCATCCACTAACCCGGCATGGTTACAAGCACAGATAGCTGCAAGGTACGAAACTTCATCGGGTTCCATCCGGACAGAGGGACCCATTTGGTGGAAAAGCTCGAGAGCCTTATCTCCATCACCATGCATGGCAAAAGCCATTATCATGGTGTTCCAAGTAACAAGACTCTTGTCGCAACTCATTGTCTGGAAAACTGAATACGCCTTGTCGACAAATCCACATTTAGCATACATGTCTATCACTGCGTTACATACCTGCACGTTCCCATCCAATCTCTCGCTTCTTATATAGTCGTATATCTTGTCCCCTTCTTTAAAAGCGCCCAGCTGTGAGCAAGCAGAGAGCCCGCCAAGGACAGTGATCTCGTTCGGCTTAAACCCATCAATCTCAATCCTTTTAAACAAACCCAAAGCCTCATCCGGCTTCTCCCCCTGAGCCAACCCAGAGATTAACGCGTTCCACGACGCGATATCTCTCTTTGCCATTTCATCGAACACCTTCTGTGCGCTCCCGATGTCCCCTGCTTTAGCATACAAATCCAACAACGTGGTACCCAACAGAGCATCGGCAGAGAAGCCTTTACGCACGATATGGGAGTGGAGCTGGAGCGAGTCGGAGAGAGCTAGAACGCGAGCGCAAGCTTTGAGAACGAATGAGCAGGTTAAGGCGTCGATTCTGTAGGAACCGCGGAGCATGGATCGGTACCATAGGAAGGCGTCAGAAGGTGAGGGCCCGATGATGAGACCCCGGAGAATGGCATTCCAGTCATTGGTGGAAGGATTCGGGATTTGGGAGAAAGTGTGGATGGCGAAGTTGAGATGGTTGAAGGTTAATGAGTAGAGCTCGAGGAGCTTGGATCGCGGTGGGCAGATGTTGAGGAACTTGAATTGGCCAGTGGCGATGAGAAGGGATTGGATTTGGTTGAGGTGGGAGAGCGCGGTGCATTTGGATAACAGAGACTCGAGGAGTGAGCTTGCCATTCATCCATTGGCCGTCCGACGGAGAATGGAAGGAGGCGGGAAGACGTTGTCCCGCTCCAAAGGCAATTGGTATCTTCTCTGAGGACTGAGAGTGAATTTCACTTAATGGGCCCAGCTTTGTATTCTTTCATCCAACCTAGGCTATGAAAACCCGAGAAATCAGCCATCCCCACTTCAACACATTGACGGTCAGGTCAGCCCACAAACCAGAGTGAGCCACCATCATTTACATAATTAGTAAAACTCCATTCAGTACGCGAGCGTCCATATTTTAGACATTTAACGCTTCGATTTCTGTATTACTATCGAGTTGCTCGTTTATTTGATTACTCATATTGAGCACGTATAAAACCATAAAACACATATAATAATTCTTTAAAATAAGTTGATAACTTGAATTTTATTTATTAAATAATTAATCTCATGACTAGTGACGTAATATTACAAATTCAGTAAAATTTTAATATGTACACCATATCTTACTAACTATAATCCTTGATCTATATATGTATACCATATTTTACTAACTACGATCCTTGATCTGATGTTCATCGCTCAACAGTTTGTCGACAGGAAACAAACAATTGCTTTCCATCAAGGTTGTCAAACGGGTTTATATTGGATTTATAACCTCCGTCCACTCCATAATCCCATCTCAACCTCCGCCCACTCGCTTCTCTGACTCACCTTCGAATCCTCAAATCCAACTCGCTTCCTAGCCCGCTCCCCCGATTCCCTCTCCCATTTAAGCACCCTCGAACTTCTCTCTTGTCCCACAACAAATTCTCGAGGGAATTTCCTCTCCCTACGCTCCCCTCTCACTCGGATCTTGCCAAGGCTTGCCTCTACACCAATCTCTCTAAGATTTATGGCTTACGAGGAAGTAGAAAGGCAAAGCGGCCAATCTCGTCGCGCCTTCCGATCTCACTGTCCCTTCCGATTGCAGAGTTTGCCGCACATACTGACTACCGAACCACGTCGCCCTGCCTGTCCTCCAATCTCTCTAGAATGAAGGTAAAAGAGGAAGAAGAAATGCAAAGCTGAGTTACCGATCGACTGCGAAATTAAATGTAGAGTTAGTCCAACTCGCAATTTGCAAACCAGCAAAACTTCATACAAAACGAGGACACTTATTTTAATTTCTAGATTTAGGATTCCGGTTGGACCACCCGGAATTCTCGGTTTTGACCGACATTTAATTACGCATCATTCCCGTAGCACTAGCCGTCTCATAACCGACACCGTTACACGAAATTCAACCGGCCAGCCTGCCTAGCATCACACAACCACAGCAACCATGCTCTGCATCGCCACAGGGACGAAACTACTCCGCTTTGCTTTCGTTAATCCCAACAAGAGACCTCTTGATTCACCTTCCACTGCTGTACATATTTGAACATGCATGCCCAAGGTTGCTCAGAAAATGGGGTCGAGACGGATTACATAAATAAGAAACACAACTACACAAGTACTCAGGATTCAGGAAGCTCAAGAATCATCAGAATGAAAAGGCAGCAAAACTGCATACTGCATTGTCGATACAAACTCCGCCTGCAACTGCGTTAGGAAAACTGCACTTGATAGACATAGACAAAGTGGACTCCACACTCGAGAGTCGCAGCAAAGGGAAAACGTCAACAGTTCCCTTAATCGTGCAGCATCAACCATCATCTACTCGCTAGTATCTTATATCCTCTCTTACACCAGAAGAACAGCATTTATACAACCATCGTTCTCAGGGTTATTAGTCACTTGGGCATATTTTCCTGCACATCAGAACCGAAGGGGAATCAGCAAACTGACCACCAGGATCAATATAACTAAAGGCAAGGACACTTACCCCAAACAACTTTGCCACCTGGTGTAACAAGACCTAATTCACTCACGTTGACCTGTTGTTCAGAACAACATACCATTAGATTCTCCATGGAAACACTTTTCAACAGTCATACAGAACAAGCAAAAAGCATGTTTAAGGGAAGGGAGATTACCTCAATGATTGTTCCCTTGGTCATGACTCCAAGGGATGTATACATGGGCCCATTAGGATTTTTCTTCACCCCAATGATTTCGAGATTGAAGGTGCATTTTAGCTCAGGATGGGTAACATGGGCCTTGGTGAAACGCAATCCAGATGGACGGATGAAACGCTCATACTTTGGAGGCTTTCTTGTGAAACCCGGTCCAACGAATGTCGCCTTGGTCACCATTCTTTTCCATTGCTTGGCTAGAAAATTACACAGAGGTACATGATCAGTCAGACTGGAAAGTTCAGTTGCATATAGTAGTTAAAGCAACAACATAGTGTAACGAGGCTTACTCTTCCTTTTTCCTGATCTAAGCACTTTGAACATCTCATCTTCTGCAACAGGCCTCACCTGAAGGTAGCCAATCCATCAAGTTTAGAATAGCTGACATAGAAGGGAAGCAATAATCATAGCCAATCAAAACATCTATCAAAGTAGATACCTTTGGCAGAGGGACTTCCCACTTTCCTGCCTTCTCTTTCCTCTTCTGCTTGATGGTATTGCTAAGAATCTACATAACACAAAGAAACGAGAAATTTTAATAAAAAGAGAAAGCCACAAATGCGGAATTTACATGAATCAATACAGGAAAAATGCTTCTTACTTTTGCACGAGTTGTATTCTCACGATCCAGCAGATAGGCAGGAACAGCTCCTTCCTGAACCTCATCATCAACCTTACGCCTAGATGATGACTCCTCGTGCATTTTCAATCTATCAAAGAAACAAAAGTTTAGCCACAAGAACATCTGCATATCAGGACAAAATTGAATCTGGAAAGACAGACCAGTTGCCAAATTCATGCTCAGGTTGGCAATCTAAATACAGAGTTAGACACTTGACTAATCCACACACACTGACCAACAGGATATCGACCAGAAAAGGGTTCTACTATCAACATATTCCATACCTTAGTGGTGACGAAACCACAAGACAAACTGAGCTTCAAAAGAGTTGATCAATGCACAGAACAAAAACTGGTTTTCATAGCATTTCACAATTTATCAACAGCCACTCATATTTGCCCTAGAACATGAATCCTTGCAAATAAACGTTAAACCAACCATAGCCTAAGTATTCAGGAAGAGCATCAACATAGTTTTACAACTAAGACGGAGAGAAAGATTCCAATAAGAGGGGAACAATTCAACTTACGTTCTTTTCATTTGAACCTTCTCCTTATAGTTCTTCTTGGCAATCATCTTGCCCTTGATACCGAGCGACTTCTGCGCCCGTTCGGAGTGCTTGTGAACCTCACGAGCCTCCTTCTTGCGCTTCCGCTCGAAATGGTCGAGGCGGTAGCCATGCCTTTTCCTGTGCAGCTCGATGTAATCACCTTGCGGCTGTAGAGCACGGAACAAGAAACCAAACTCGTCAGAAATCAAATTGAATTACCGTATTATCACGAGGAAAATCAAACCATAAACGGAATCGGCAGGGACGAACCATGATGGCTTTGTTTCGGAATCAGTTTACTGAAGAAACTCGGGGCGGAAACGGGGAGAGATGAAGAACCCTAGTTCTGTTGTATGGAGGGGTTTTGTTTGGGTTTGGTTTGGTTTGGTTTGGTCAGGTTGGGAAGACGTCGGTTAAGCGATGCGGATCGGTATAACTATAAGCGGACAACGAACTGGGTCGGTGGTTTGCGTGACTGACAGTAGCCTCTAAAGCTTACTTGTTGAGTATGGTATGATGTACTTAAAGACAGAAACTCAAATATCCATTTGTCTTAGTTGTACTGTGATAGCAGTCTGTTTGTTGGCTGGAATGTCTCTATCCTTTCTGTTCTTTCTTTTTAGGAACTTTATAGATTTGTGAGGCAGGTTGTTCTACAGTTGGTTCTCCTTCCTCCCACTCTTTTGTTTCTTTTCTTTTGCTTTCGCATTTGAAGCTTACATTAAGGCCACATTTATGAATCTCCCTAGCTAAATGTATCTATAAGCGAAGCTTACATTAAGGACAACTTGTTAATCCAATTGTTTCTTTTTGATTTGGTTGTGAGAGTGGCTGAAAATAGCTGATGTTTCCATATCAACTAATGATCATCTTCATGCCAATTTTGGTTTGGATTTTATTGAACCCTATAGTGGTTGCCTCTTTTCTTGCTGGAAGTGCATTGTGGGCTTATGTCATTCATTATCTGCTTAGGTCTTTTCTCTTGCTCTCCCATACCGAGTAGCCATTCTTGTTGAATATGATAGCCTTGATTATGATTGGGCATTTTCTGTTTTAGCTGAACCTTGATTATACTTGACTTACTGTCGAATCTTTGTGTACCTTGATTCTTATTTGTGAACTCATAGTATTTAAGCAATGGAACACTTTGAACATAGTATTTTTGTATTACTTTAAATTTGAACATTAGGAAATTATAACTAACACGTGTTTCAAATTTAAGCAAAATATGTGAACTTAGAAAGGTAATATATAAATAAATAAATAATTGTAGGCAGGAAAAGTTCAAAACTAGAAAGTTTCAATAGAAGAAAAACTTTTGGGATTCTGGTATCGGGTGCAAGGAAAATACAAAGTAATTAAATTTTGAGATATTCTCTAACTATAAATAGGATCTATATATATGAGCCCTTCTAGGGTGCTCTATAGCACCCATGCTATAAAAAAAAAAAAGGTGACCTGTTGAGGAGGTAAACCCACTAAATGACTGGTCCCACATCATTAATGACAATCTTGTAAATAATGAATCAATGTATACAAGTGTAGGTACAAATTAGAGTTGTACCATATCGTATAGGTACAAGTTTCAGCTGTACCATTGAAGAATTTGTTTCACAAAGTGTAGGTACAACTTAAAGTTGTACCATTAGTATAGGTACAATTTTGAGTTGTACCATAAAGGGATTTGTTAGAAAGTGTAGGTACAACTTAAAGTTGTACCATGGTATAGGTACAAGTTTGGGTTGTACCATAAAAGAATTTTGAGAAAGTGTAGGTACAACTTAAGGTTGTACCATTAGTATAGGTACAATTTTTAGTTGTACCATAAAGGGATTTGTTAGAAAGTGTAGGTACAACTTAAAGTTGTACCATGGTATAGGTACAAGTTTGGGTTGTACCATAGAAGGATTTTTAGAAAGTGTAGGTACAACTTAAAGTTGTACCATGGTATAGGTACAAGTTTGGGTTGTACCATAGAAGGATTTTGAGAAAGTGTAGGTACAACTTAAGGTTGTACCATTAGTATAGGTACAATTTTGAGTTGTACCATAAAGAGATTTATTAGAAAGTGTAGGTACAATTTAAAGTTGTACTATTAGTATAGGTACAATTTTGAGTTGTACCATAAAAGGATTTGTTAGAAAGTGTAGGTACAACTTAAAGTTGTACCATGGTATAGGTACAAGTTTGGGTTGTACCATAAAAGAATTTTGAGAAAGTGTATGTACAACTTAAGGTTGTACCATTAGTATAGGTACAATTTTTAGTTGTACCATAAAGGGATTTGTTAGAAAGTGTAGGTACAACTTAAAGTTGTACCATGGTATAGGTACAAGTTTGGGTTGTACCATAGAAGGATTTGGAGAAAGTGTAGGTACAACTTTTAGTTGTACCATTAGTATAGGTACAATTTTGAGTTGTACCATAAAAGGATTTATTAGAAAGTGTAGGTACAACTTAAAGTTGTACCATGGTATAGGTACAAGTTTCCATGATATGTAGATTGTGAGCTGAAGATGCAATTTTGAGGAGTTTGCATTGTTGCTTTTGTAAGGGCTTTTGAGTGGTTTTTGGCCAAAAGGACAATTGGCATCCGGGAAAAGTTATTACTAAATCAAAACAAGCATATTGTTATGCTTTCTATCAATACAAGATCCTTTTGCTTTTCCTTTGTTCCTGTTGTTTGTGGCTGGTTTGTGTGTGCTCTTTTGTTCCGTCTTTAACTTGAATATGGTCTATGCCTTGCCTTTTGCTGCCCTCAATATTTGGTTTCTGGACTGCATTGAACTGTGATATAAAGGAAGGTCATAAGGTGGGTTTGGGTGATATGCCTTGGAATTCGGGTAGACGGATTGGTTCGGTTTGAAGTCTATTTAGTGGTTAACCAACAGCAGCTAAGCAGAAACTCAGAGCGAAGCAATATGCAACTCTTAAGCCCATTGATCGAACACTGCCATGGCTATCCATGACACTCTAGTAAATGTAAAGTTTGTGTCTTTCTTCATGGCTTAGAGTAGATGGGCTCTCAATTTGTACAAACACACGTGAAGAAGGCGAACCACCAAAATTTGTACAACAGTCATGTCCCCGTTCTTTATATACTACTATGTGGTTGTTTACAAGATCAGACTACTAACTGTTCTTCCATATCTCCCTCAGAAGGTCGTACCTTACCGGGTTCTGTCCCTCCTTCAGTTTCCAGGCTGCAGGGGATGATGATGAACAAGGCATCAGCTCGGGGAAGATTGAAGCCAGAGGCGATTTCAGCTCGTCGAGCTCATCGTCGCTAGTGTATGCTTTTCTCAGCACGGACGAACCACTTCTTCTGAGCTGGTTTCCGAGCTCTCCAATTGTGGCAGCAACAGAAGCTGATGAAGATGGTAGATAGATTGGAGGAGCTGCAATGCATGGCACAGTCGTTGCCACATGACTTTGCCACTAGAACCATTCCTGAAACCGCACTTCTGGCTGCACTGGCTCAGGAGAGACCTGAATGGCGGTCACCATGTTCCCACTGAATTAGTACAGACTGGAGAGACCTCAGAGATTGAGATGGTGGCCATGGCTTGATCTCTTCAATGTGGATTATGTAGTTCAACTGGACTGAAGCATTCTTCTTGTTCTTCACATTTACATGAACCATTGTATGGTCCAAAATGCTACTGCAATAGTTCAGTCACCAAAAACAACAATTAGAATGATAAAATGGTAAGTTAAAACAGAAAGGTGAAAATTGCAATTTCTCATTGTTAGGTTGGAGCAACCACTTACCTTATTTGCCAAAAGCAACAATTAACAGCACAAAAGCAGTGTACTTTTCTAGCTATCACAACATTTTCCCAGCAACCAAACAACAAAAGCCCATTTCTAAGATCAAATTCAAACTCTTAAGCAGCAACAAATTCGAGCAACAGAAGCCTAAACTTCAAAATGCTAACAAAAAGGGGTGAAGCATCAATAAATTTCTTCACATCCAAGAAAGCAACCAATGTTACAGAGTAGTTATCAATCGCGAGAATCACACATATGAAAGTAAGACGTTCAAGAGGGAAATGAGAAAAAGATTCCATTTTTAGCCCATTAAACCCGGAAAAGGGAAAAGCTGAAGTTCATAGCTTTGAGACATTTTCCAAGCAGGGTTGCAGCCAGATCCAGCCAAAACCACCAGGAACCGACAAATTCTTCCCAACAAACCACAAAGCTTGACCTTTGTCACCCAAAAACTCACAGAACCCCCCTCGACAACGCATTGCAAGCCTCACCAGAACTTCCCCACTCAACGAAACCAAAAATGAACCAAAACCCAATTACAATAAGGATGCATTCGTACCAGTAAACAGCCGACGGAGAGCACCGCTGGAGAGAAATGAAATGGCTGACGTTCTCTTGGTCAAGACGAGCAGTACTACCAATGAGAAACCTTTGTATCAGCCACAGTCGCAGCAACAGAATGTGAGCTCTGCTGCAAGAAATTAACCTCTCCTTTACCATCAGCAGCACCCGGCCATTCACTTCCCGAATTAGCATTGTAGCTCTCTTGGAGACCTACTGTTGCACCACAACTATCTACTTGGTACCACTGCCCAGTGTTCATATCATATTTCCACCCAGGATACATACTTTCCCAGTACTGAGTGCTATTAACATCCTGCCTGTTTACGTTTTCCTGCAAATAACTAACAAAATTCCCGATTTCCCCAACTGCATTAGTTTCTATATTCGTGCTTCCACCAACTTTTGCAATAGAATCATCAGAATGCCCCTCCAACTCACTGAAAAAATCAGAGCACGAACCAAACTCATTATTTCCATTTGGTGCTGAACCAGCATACAATGAACCCCAACCCACCTCCTTAGCCCCTGACTTCGTGGATCCAACATCAGTCATTGGATCTAGATCAGGTGCAACCTTCGATTTCAACCCATCATTACTAGAATCCACTGCATTGCCAGACCCAGAGGAGTTCAGTGCATCACTCTCCTCCGTCGGAGACCCAGAAATTCCAGCAGGCACATCCCCCGAATTCCCATCATCTCTCACCTCCTCCTCCACAACTCCACCGTCCTCGCCGCCACCGTTGACGTCCTCAATGCTCAGATTAGCAAACGCCTTGGCCTCATCGGAATCACTCCCCTCAGAAAATTTGCTCACCTGAGCGGCATCGGAGCTAGTAGGTCCGAAATCATCGTCGACTAATTTGTCGAAGAAATCCTCATCGGTTTGATCCTCCATCACTTGGAATGGAGGATTGGAAGCCATAAAAAAAAATCAAGCCCCAAAATAAACCTCCACGATCAGCCCAAAAAAAAGATTCCTCCCGCCGCCATCGCTGCCAAATCCGTACTCGATCTCAATCCTCCTGCCATATCCGCCTCCGCCACCGATCTCAGTCCTCCCACCATATCTGGATCCGTACTCAGAATCACCGGCAGGCATGCCCCCGCCGGCCTGAAATCCGTAAGCGGGACCAGATCGGGGCTAGGACGGGAGTAGCTGCTCGAGGTAAGAACCTCGTTGCCGTAGGCAGAGGGCTCCGATCATAATAAAAAAATGCTCCGATTTTTTTTACGGGATGGTCAAAGAGTAGAGAGACGATGCGAGATCAAAGGAAGAGATTCGCTGCCTCTGGAGTTGGAGTCGGTAACTGCATTTCCGGTGACAGCAAGAATGGATGTCGGCGGTGAGAAGAGGGTCTCAGATCTGCTCGGAGAGGAGAAGGATAAGAGAATGGGTTTCCAACTTTTTTCACGTACAACCGGTTGTACCGGTTGACCATAAACAAATAAAATAATATATTAATAATCTAAATAAGATCTAATGGCTGATATATTTTGAACATGATCTAATGGCTGTAAACGTTTTATAGCACCAATACTATAAAGCACACTAAAATGCCTCCTATATATATATCCTCCATTTGTCTCCTACATTTGTTCATTCAACTTTCGGTTACTGACTTCGTTTTCTTTGTACATTCGACGATGAATTTTTTTTCCCCCAGCTGCGGCCGAGTTATTGAACAAGCTATCTGGTGATTCATGAAAAGCTCAATATTTTTCCTCCTGCAGAGCTATATAAATGCAAACTTCCTAATAGATTAATGTGTTTTTTTTATTTTAGTTTCATATGTATATTTTTTGTTTGATACATACGTATATAGTGACTAATGAGTTTAAGGAATATTTCTCATATATATATATTTTTTATAATGGTGATCAAGATTTTATTAACAAAACGAAAGAGAAAGAAAGTTACAAGGCAAGGCAGAAACAAAGAGTAGTTCAGAAGGGCTGAACTAAACCTTGTTCCTAAACGGCTGAACCCAACAGACAGGAAAAAACTAAGCAAAAGGCAAAGACCAAACGGACACAATCTGAAACAAAGCTGAAATAAACCACTAAAAAGTTGACCAGACCACTCCCAAAGTGGAGAAAAAACAAAAGCCGCTCTCATATTACCAACAACAAAGAGAAACAGGGAAGGAAGAAAGATCAGACAATGCACCCTACATCCTCCATCCCAAACGAGAAAAGAGTACAAGGGGGAGAAGAGGAAACCAACACAAGAGACAACACAAATCCTCCCACTAAAGCTGCCGTCCCGCCAACCAACTGAGGCCAAGACTTTTATCCGGCTTGCCACAAGCAATAGCCCAATCCAAGGACTCTATGACTGCCTTAGGAGTAACTCTCTTATATTTTTTAATTTTATTATATATATAAAAGTGGGTATCTGAGTTCTGCAACAAATGTGTTATGTGTTCACTACTCGTGCAAACTTTATAGAGAGAAGAAATTTTGTTATCATCTAATCTAATTGTCTCAAAGAAATTCATCTACTATATATTTATTACATTCTTTACGGCTGAACTCATCACCAATGTTAATTACCATCACGTGATATATATTTGTCTCATCAACCTTTGTCACTAAAAGAGACAAATGCAACAATTTCATTGTCATAGAAGAAAATAATTTGTGTTGATTCAATTTATCACGGATGTTGCATTTTGGTGATGACCATAGCTGTTATCAATCGAAGATTTCGTGATGAAATGTTGGTCACCAATTGTTGCAACCTGCGATACTTCGTCGTAGTTTTGTGATGGAGAACTTGTCGCGAAATGATTTAGTTGTGACAACCCAATTTCATCACATATGGCCGCATACATGACAATATAATTCGTCACAAATAGTGACTTCAGTGACAACCAAACAAGGCACTGGATCATATCTTGAATGTTTAAAAGAGTATTTGTGGCAGAATTATTGTCACGCATGACAATTATTTGTGACGACTTAATATGTCATTGTTTTCATGTCAACAATAACTCGTCACAAATACGATCTTTATTGACCATAACTTTGTCACACAAATATTTGTATATGTTACGAATAAAATTGTCACTACTAGCCTGTCATTTATAACAATTTAGCCTCGTCACGGGAAAAATTTAAACGTTGCGAAAACTTGTAAAAAACGTTGCCTATGTTCCTAAAATGTGTTTTGGAAATTTAGAAATGTGTTGGCTAAAGTGGTGTTGCGTAAGAGGTAAGGATACGCAACCCTTTGTATTTTAGTTGCGAAAAATGAAAAATTAGTTGCCTATTCTTTTTGCAACCCCCACTATATGCAACCCCAATAAAAAGTGTTGTGTTAGCATGTTACAACCCTTTTAAGACTTAACACAACACATTTTTTGGGTTGCAAGAGGCCATTTTCTCCGTAGTGCGAGGCGGGCAACTAGGGATGGTCTCTTGGTTGGTCTATGTAAGTTGGTTTTTGGGCAAATCCCGATGGAGAGATGTGGATCGTGTTGTGACCCAGGAGGGGGTGCGGGTAAGGTATATTGCCACTATCATTAAGTCTAATGGGGGAGCACAAATAAGTTAATTAATAAAATCTTAGCTGATAGACTGGGTAACGTGCTTGGCAAGATTGTCTCAGATAACCAGCACGCTTCAGTTAAATGAAGAAAAATTGCGGAGGCAGGTCTGATTGCTTTCGAGCTTCTTGATAGCCGTATTAAAAGCAGGAAACCTGGGTTGATGTTTAAGTTGGATATCGAGAAAGCATTCGACAACGTGAGTTGGCATGCCTCTTCAAAGTTTTGTCAACTTTGGGGTTTCCTCAAAAATGGCAAGACTGGATTCGTGCTTCGGTTTGTTCGTCGTCCATCTCTACTATTATCAACGGCGAAGCTAAAGGGTTCTTCCCTGTGGAAAAGGGGCTTCGTCAAAGCGATCCATTATCTCCTGACTTATTTGTTCTCATTATGGATGTGCTGTCTTTTATGCTCTCCAAGTTGCGTGAAGCGGAAAAGATTAGGGGCTTTTGTGAGGCCTTTTACGAGCATGTGTTGAACATTATGGCCACTCTGGTGTGCTTCCAGGCGGTTTCGGGCTTGAAGATCAATCTGGATAAATCAACTATGTGCATTGTAGGTGACGTACCCAACCCGGATTTTATGCGAGCATCTTTGGCTGCAAGTGGAGCACGGAGCCTTCTAAGTATCTGGGGTTTTCCCTTGGTGCGAAGGTGAATGCTGCCTCTACTTGGGATTCTATTATCAGTAAGTATGAGAAGAGACTTGAAGGGTGGAAGGCTATGTATCTCTCTTTGGGTGGGAGACTGGTGCTCAACAACTCGGTGCTTAATGGTCAACCCGTCTATTTTTTCTCACTGTTTCGCGCTCCTTGTTCCGTGTTAAACAAGATAGAAAGGATTCAAAGATGGTTTATTTGGTGTGGAGCGAATGATAGTAAGAGGAGCCCTCTAGTCATATGGGATCTCTGTAAGGCGAGTAAGGGCAATGATGGACTGGGGGTGCGTGATCTAAGTGCTGTAACAAGGCCATGCTTTGTAAGTGGTTGTGGAAGTTTGGCACTGAGAAAGGAAAGTGGTGGAGGGAGCTAATTTCGGTTAAGTTTCCTTCACCAACCTCTGACTGGGAAAGTAAAATGGGTTTGACATGTCAGCTTGGGCTAATATCAATAAGTAATATGACTCCTTTTGGAAGATTGCTCGTGTTGACCCTGGTGGTGGGGCGTGGGTTTCCTTCTGGGATGATTGTTGGGTCTCAAATTTTACTCTTGCCAACACATTCCTTCGCGTCGCTGCTGCAGCCTCTGACCGTCATGCCTGGATTTCTGAAATCGCAGACCATCAAGGTGAGAAATTAGCTTGGAACCTTTATTTAAAGGTCCATTTGAGAGGGGGGCGGGGGCGGAGAGAGAAAGATTGAATCTCTTGAATATGCTTAATTTTGTCGGTTCTCACAAGGTGTCTTGCGGACCTAGCAGACTTGTTTGGTCCCCAAACCCCGAAAGCTCTTTCTATGTGTCTTCTATGTATAGGTACCTTTCTAATAACTTGTTCCCGGGGCTGCCAAAATTCCCTGCTCATTCAATATGGAGAAATGCGTTCCTTCGAAGATCAATGCGTTTTTGTGGACTGTTACTCACAGAAGAATCCTTACCCTCGATAATCTTCAGAAAAGAGGGTGTGCCCTTGTGAACAGATGCTCGTTGTGCTGCAAAGATTCAGAATCCATAGACCATTTGCTGGTTAACTGTGAATATACAAAAAGAATTTGGAACGAGCTGAAAGAAAAATGCAATATAGAGCTGGCTCCTTGCAGTGATATTGTAATCACTATCCACAATTGGAAGGCTGAGTATCCTTCTAGTCCGCATGAATGGTTGTCCTATTGTGCTATTCACTCGATCTGCTGGCAGGTGTGGTTCGAGAGGAATCATCGTATGTTCGAAGATTGTGCTCTCCCAGCATCCTTGGTGTTCTAGAAGGCTGTGTACTCAATTGTCGAATGGCTTGTGGCGCACGGAAAGATCAGTAGATCTCAAGGGTTTCAATGGTTGTGGCCTTGCCGTTTATCGTGATTTGATTTCTTTGGGATGCTGGGGTCAGGGCTTCTGATAGCTGCTACTGGCTGGCTCTGTGTTGGCTGTGTTGGCTGCCTGGTGCTCTCTCCTCGTTGGTTGTGTCGTTTGCGCTGGCTGTGTTCGATGTTTGTTTTTTCTTGCTCTTGTATGCTGTTTTGTTCTTTCTTCTTTTCTCTCTTCTCTGTTATAAGTTTTCTGTCTTCTGAGGGCAGGGGCTTCCTAGTTCGCCTAGCTCCTCTTGGTGCTCGCACTTCTTGTGCTGGCCTTTTTCAGTTATTATCGTACTCGTTTGTCTGTTTGGACTCTCTTTTTGGTTTATTAATTCAGTTATCACCATTATAAAAAAGGTATATTGCC